GTTCGTTCCAGCCTATAGAATTGAATGCCTTCAATTGAGTACCAAAATTACTTCGAAATACATGGAGAGAATACAAATTCCTTTATGATTTCCGTAAGTTTTACATATACCACGCCTTCACTGAGGAAACCCGTTTTTTCACGACTACTTGCGACTTGGAAATAGCATTTTTTAGCCTAGTTATTTTGGAGGCATAGAGTGACCTGCTTTCCTCATAAAAGCTACAAATTTTTAGCTTTATGACGGCAAAAAAGTCCGATGATAACCGCGGCGCAAAGGAGCTTGCTCTCCATCCTGCACGCTGACAACTTTTTGATGGCCTCATCCACTTTGCCTCATAGAATTTTAACGAGGAATTCAGAAATTTATACTCAGGTGTTATCTTCAGTTTTCATCCTTTGATGTCAGAATTATTACGCTGTGGATCATAAACGTTCGGTTTTACATCGGGAAAATTTTATATCGACAATTTGTTGAAGCATAAATTCACGAATAACAAAAATTTTTAGGTCGATGCTTAGCTTACAATTTGCCATTACCTAATCTTTAATTTGTACAGGTATTTGAAAAAAGTTCATTATGGAACAATTTCATCCGCTTGTGGTGCTCATGTATAAATTTGGTTTTGTAGCGTTTGTTACTAAAATTACCTACTTATTGTGTTTCTGAACCATCTTTCAAAATTGCTCTTAGTCACCAGCCGACATGGTGGGACAGGTAGTCAGTCGTTAGGTTAGTAATTTATTGGAATTGACTTGATGGAAAACCTTGTTTATATCAGAGATGTCTATTGGGATTCCTTTTTATTCCCGACTCAACACAAATAATTTCGATTGCTCAAATGCCCTCTAATGATCGAATGCTTTTTCCGCAGGCAATGAAAACAAATTTTCCTTTGTTATCAACTGGTCTAATTTTAATCTTCAAATGTTAGTAAACAGGATATCTCTCCGAATTTGGAGTACGAAGCCAAAACAAATTTTTTAACAGTGGTTGCATCGGCCAATCGTAATTATTTTCAGCTCATAAATTCATAAATAAGTGATATAAATAAAAAATTGATTATAAAATACATTCAGAAACATCAATAAGTAATGTGATATATTTTTATCTTCCGTTGTGAAGTGACAGCTGAAATTTCATGGCTATTTGTTGTCTGGACGTTAAATCGAGTACAGACACTGAGAATGTGCACGAGGGAAAAGATAACAATGTAAGCTCGACTATTGAAGCGACTTCAATATTGCAGGGAAGTGCTTCGCTCGATACGAAAACTATAACGTGGAGATTTATTTTCTATGCAAATGTTTTTAATTACAAAAAAAATATTAATGAGCAACTTACAATAAAATTAATAATATATGAATAACGGAAATGGTAGTTAGGATTCATTTCTCAGAAAGGAATGCAAATTGTAATCATTTCTAATTCCTATAGATAGTTTTTTAATGTTGCCTGTATCGACTAGGTTTAATGGATGAAATTTCTCATCTAAATAATTTCACAAATAAATAACTGGAGTGAGTGTGCAGCATTAAAAATAAACAACTTTGTTACTACACGCGCATCGACATGACATACATCCGAGTTGTCATCATTCCAATTTTGACGTCTTCATTTCATGTGGTATTGTACAATTGTTATTATAAACTAGTTGAATGAATATGTATTCGAAATACAGCTTAAAATATTTGTATTGGAATCAAGCGCTGCATATTCGGCTAAGCCGATGAAAGACATGTTTATTCAAAGCCAGCGTGGTCAAGCCAGTAGCGTGGGTGATTAAAACAGTCACGCTTGAATGGCTTCAACTGCCGGACTGCCATGAAGTTCTGATTGCCAGGCCCATGAAACATTGATAAATGGAGCCATATTCTCGCAAAATGCATCCCCGAGGACGTCGTTTAAGAAAGGTTCATTCCTAGCCAACAAATTAACATTAATTTTATTTTAATATTTTTAACACGCAAACCCAAAGCCAAAACCCACATTGTTTAGAACAACATTTTATAGAAAATAATGCCGATTTTGAGTAAAAAAATATGTATTATTGAAGCTATCAGGAAATATACTCGGAATTATATTCTGCCGATGTTGTATTAAGTATTAGCCATGTTTCTCGAATCAATATCACTTCTGAAACATAACTGCTTAACTTGATTTCCAGAGCCTCTATGTAATCGATGGAAGATATTGAGTTATAGTTGGACGAAACCATACTCTTTTAATGTGTTTTTAATCAAAAAATTTTGCTTGTGCGTTTCCTTTCATTTTTATCTACATTATTGAAGTAAGAATAATCAAAATTTAATATTTTGATTGCTACCCATTGACCTTCATAGCTCACCAATCAATAGAATACTTCTTTATCTTTCTATGTTATAATAATAACTTGTATAATAAAATATCAAAAATAACAGCGGCAGTGTCTGCACCAGCGCCCGCTCGCCTACATCGTCCACGACCAGCCTGCACCCTGTCTCTTATACACATCTAGATGTGTATAAGAGACAGGTCCACGACCAGCCTGTACCAGCGCCCGCTCGCCTGCATCGTCCACGACCTGTCTCTTATACACATCTAGATGTGTATAAGAGACAGGTCCACGACCAGCCTGCACCAGACATCGCCGCCTCTACGTCATCGATCGCGCCACGCTTTCATTAAAGCGCCCGCCACGCAACGTAAAGAACTTTCTACATGCACCACCAAAATATTCCAATTTGCTCTCCTACCAGGCTACTATGTACAAAAACCCCATGGTGCAAATTCTATTCCTTTTTAGGATGTAGAAGCACGCGAAGATTGATTTGAAAAATTTAGAAGTTTTAATCTAAGGCCTGTTTATGCTCCCTTATCACCTGCATTGATGAGTTCGTACTGTGCTATAGAGTTTGCATGCTTCTAACTATCAGAGGCTGTTAGAATATTCCGTAAATTAAAAATGTATAAGTAAGTAAAGCGCTAGCATAAGTTAGATGTTAGATATAATGATTTGGCTCCAGGTAATTCCCCGCCCAATCTCAATGAATTTGTCATCATCCACGGGGCAAAACAATTATTAAGTTTATTGAGCCCACAGCAGTCTTGCTACTTTATGCCAGCAGCAACGCCCGTAATCGTCCGTTCAAAGCTCATTATCAGAGCGCACGGCACTTCCGAGTGTGCAGTCTGCAGTTCATTGCAAGGGAGCCTTTAATGTGTTTCTCTATCTTTGCTACTCATCAATTTCTCACGAGCGTGTGATTAAATTTGCATACTGGATCACAATCATCGCGTTCGTGATCAATGAGGCAGAATGAATTAAAACCAGGACCTTTTTATTCACTCAGATCGCGAAATAAGCAAAACCAGGAGGAAACATTTGAAGAAAAAATTCATTTTTGCATTCACTTCGTGTTCTATGTTTGAATAACAGCAATAAAAGAACATTTGTCATATCGTTTACTGCTTCAGCAGTACCCCAATTTTGTGCGCGAGTAAAAAATATATTCTCTTTACGAGAAAATTCTTACTTCTGAGAGATTAATATTCTTATTTGAGGGAAAAAGTAACACTATATACACTGAATACTATTTAACAGCAAATGTAGATACAATGAATGATGTACCAACGCTCTATCATGCCACGTGGCTGCCGGTGCGTGACCGCCAGGAATGAGCTGATCGTTGTTTGCACGAAGCTTAATATTCGCGTGGCGTGTGTGAGTAACGTATGGCACTGCCCTGAACATCTGTCATGTATCTCTATGTTCGAGATCTGGTGGCTCTCTTTACTTCAGGCTTATTTCAGCCAATAACTAATATATTTAGATCATACGGCATGTTACCCTGGCTGCTCACACGGACTTCGGCATGGACGCTGTAACGTATAACGTGGTCGCACGTCTAAGGGAAACTTAGACGTGCGACCACGTCTAAAAAAACTGTTTTTTTTAAACAAACGTAATCTGTAAAGTTTCGAACTCTACATTAATATATATTCATATACCATTATATAGAACATTTTAACCAACTGTTTTACTAATTCCTAGTTTGAATAAGTAAACATTGTTACTCGTCAAACGTTGAAATCGAAAACAAAGAAAAAGGATGTCTTGAAATCTTTCTAGCAATTTATTGTACTCTTTGCTTAAAATTGAATTAAGCGTTCAATATTTTAAAAATAGCCATTTTCTATATTGGTATAATAACTCGGTAGGCGAATTTAATTCGCGATGATATAAAATTCATTTATACAAATCATGGCTCCTCATGTTCTTCTAAAATATACCTGCACCGGCAACAAACTAAACAATAAAATAATTTTTGAGTCGCCGTCCTAAATTAAATTGGATGCTGCGATCCTTGAAGGTTCTTTTTAATTATGGTATAAAACTACAATATTTATTTTATTGCATTCGGGAGAAAAAGTTAGCAAGAGACGTGCTTAGATAATTTATGGAAAAAACTGTCCACGTTTACCTGCCAACCACGGTCATAGGTGTTTTAAATTAGAAACAAGAGTGTCTGACTAAACAATGTCACCATTAAAAATAACAAATTCATGGTCATCTAAGTGCTTAGAATAATATTAATTTTGTCGAATATAGAATATATTAATTATAATATTAATTATTACGCAGATTCTGGGACAAAGGAACAACTGTTCACAAGTCTGGACACCAGGTACCAGTGCAGACGCGGGGCGCAGTAGCAGCGCAATGACGATACTCAGAATTGAGCCACTTTACTCGATGGCCAAAGTTGAACATGGGAATAGGGAGGCCATTCGTGCCTATCATTGCATGCTATGCTCATCTTTAGACGCTCCGGTAATGTCAGAAATTGAAATTAGAGACTTGACCAGAGTTGAATCAAAGTTTTCTACGGGACAATTTGCATCCATGCTGCCGTCATTCACTCGTCAAACACCAGTGAAAAGAAAATGATAGCATGATAGCAACTCCTTATTGCAATAGGGTATTATTAGTTGTGGTCTTTCCATGCGTACTCACTTACCTGGGAAGTAGATCAATAATAATGCAGAGAAGAAAAGTCGCATTGATATTCCTTTCTGGTCACTCGCACCCGAAATCCGAGAGCACTTCGCCCCTTTTACTTCTTTTTTCGGGTGCTGATGAGACGATTGAGTTTCACAGTAGCCAGTTTTATAATTTAACACAGCCAATTTTTGGCCTATTAATCCCATCGATTTCATAATTATTGTGTAATAAATGAGCAATTTTGGCACAAGACAGTACACAAGCATCCAAATGTTTGTAAGGATTTTGCGGGTTCTACTTAGCAAATAGTTCAATGTCCGCACTTCAAAATTAGCTAAGTTTCGCAAGCTAACTTTAGTCGCAGCATCAAAATTTTCACAGAAATGTTCACAATTTTTATTAATAAATATTTCACTCCCCATTTTCCTATTTTTTCCTTTTTGTTGAACAGCTGTTAACCAATGGCTTTTATTAATTGCATCCAGCCTCGCACCCAAAAGGTCCTTCTTGTCACCGTAAGGTAATGCGGCTGTTTCTATGCCCCCAATCCGCATTTTTATAGGGGATATATTATAGAATAATTTCCAGGACATGTTATCTTCAAATGACCCAGACAGGCTATGCGTCGCTTCCGTAGCCGGCAGCAATACTGGAGCTTTAGCCGCACCCGCATTGAAGATCCAACTAATTGTGAGCCACTGGACTGGAAGACGGCAGATCAGGCCGAACAAACCATAAAAGACAGATTGTCGAAAGTTCTCACGTAAGTTGGGTAGAAAATATCAGATTATTGCAAGTTAATTTTCAAATGTAAATCCGCCCTTGAAATGTCTGGTCGGCAAGTTCTATAAAAAAGTTTTTCAATTAATTATGTAGTTCCATTTGAAAGCCTCCGACTCGCTGAAGCGTGTATTTAATGCAGGACTTGGCCAATGAGGAAGGCGCTGAGGGAATCGTGCAAAAGAATTTTTGTTACGTTATCATAGGTAAATTAGTTTATTATGCGTGTGTTTAAAGGTCGTGAAAGTCGCTGCGGAGGCAAACTGGACCGGCTTGATATGTTTCAATCGGAGCACCTAACAGGTACAAACAGATACATATCCCTCAAACACTCCCTCACTAAAAGCTTTAGTATGTTCTGAACAATAGAGCTTCAATTTCCTTAATAAATTTACGATGAGCTGCATGAATAAGCAGACTGTATCATTACTGCCACTCGCCGCACAATAAAAGCAGACAGAAATGAGCGCTTCATCGCCCTTCCACTTGCCGCCCTATCCATGCTGATGAGGCTTCAGAGGCGATGAATCTTAATGACGCACCATTATTTATAATGGACTGCGCACTAAGATATAGTATACATGTTGGCAAATCAGTAACAATTTTACGCTTGTTCGTCAGCGTGTTTCTATGAGCGAACGTTTCAATTCTTGCATGTAAAAAATCTAGATAACAAGTGCAATTTTTGAAAATAACTCTATTTTGTCGGAATCTTCGTTCCAGATAACTATTGCAGTTTTAAAAATTATTTCAATTTTGCAGAGATTTTAATGAGAGTTTATTCTACAATATTTGGGATCCAAATACTTTATGACAATGTTACAAAAAATTTTCGAAACACTTTTTCCTCGTTCACCTACAAAACTCAAATTCACTGAAACACCTCCTAACAGTCTCACTCCACTGGCGATACAACGGTCTTCATTTCTTTGGAAGCCATTTACCTTAATTAAGAATCAATTTCTGGTACTTTGTTTTAAAACTCCGCATTGAATTAGTAGCCTTCAACCTTAAATAGGAGAGCACACTGACGGCACCGCGTGTTCACTGCAGTAATGAAGATCAAACAAGACCTGCAAAAGAGGAGCATCGATTAGCCCAAGTTAAATCAGAAGACTTTTAGGGTCTGCGTGCAAAGTGCCAGTCTAGCTCAAATTTCCCTCATTTAATGCGAAAATTTCCTTTTTCTATTCCATGGACGCAGAAAAAGCATAAATGATGTTGAAAATTAGTAAATGAAAAAAAAAACATTGTATTTTTTGGCTATTTTGTATTTTTCAGCTATAGTGTCGCATGGCTCGATGGGAAAGAAAATAAGTTGTCAACAATTTCTAAAACATCAAGCTTTCCAATGGACGAAACGTTTTCATAAAAGTCTCGCCACTTTCTCGAAACTCATGCCATTATAAAATTTTGTGTAGTATATGCGATCAGTAAAATAAAAAATCAAATAGCTGAATAATGACGAGTATGTTTAGAAATGTCTGATCTTTCGATGAATATTTCACGAAATTGAAGGCATTATGCATAGTGTTTACCGTGTCGTGGTATTTAAAACGGAATAAGAACATGCATGAACTGCATGATTTCAAATTACGGACAATTATTTTGTTAAATGCAGTGTGAGTGAATAACTGAGTGATCAGAATTATTCTTCATCAGTTTACTACGACTCTGATATGTAAATTCGTATGCTTGGTACTACTACAACATTCGTTAGAACAGTTACAGAAATATCTGAGATTGAGGTAAAGCACAATTCTGACATGTTTCATTCGCCTCGAATAGCGCAGTTGGTGACATGACATCTGAACTTTGCAAGGTTCTGAAGTGTTTCCTGTGCGAGGATCAGGGCTACTGCTGCATCATTGATAGCGTTCCAACGTTGCCTTGAGAACGCGCCTAATTTTTGACGAACTCTGCACCATGAGCATGATTGAACTCGGCGAGCTCATTCCAGTTTAATATTTGATTCATGAGTATTCGATGGTGATGTGATAAATAAGTAGCAATGAAATATATTGGTAAACATGAAATTTCGCATAATATAAACTCCTACTTCATTAAACAATCATCACATTCGAATAAAGAAATGTACCCCACTGAGAAAAAATGCATGCAATCCAAAAACGCGACTTTCACATGCGTATACGAAATTGAATAACTTCCAAGTCGTGATTTTATTTCGTGAGTCCACTAATGCCACGATTGTGTAGCTCGAGTTTTAGTTTGTATTTTTCCACTAAGAACTTGCCGAACCCGCAAGCTACTACCGACGCACTACTTCTTATTTCTACCGACCTTTAAGTTCGGGTGAAGAAACCCTCTATCTACGCTGATAAAATCAGTAACGAGGAGCATGAATTAACGAAATTGTATTTTTCATGGCGTACTTTGGAATGAGTTATAGTCAAGGAAGATTTCTGAAAGGCCGACGGCCAGTTATTTGGAGTCATTCATATTGGCTATAACCCGTTCATTAAGCCAAACCTCAGCCTCTTTCGAGTAAGTTATACTCCTTAGCTCAGCCATTAAAGAGCTCGGCAGGTTTAAGTCAATGACGGAAAGAGTGTGTAGCCTATAGAATTTTCCATATGATGGCCAGATCACATGCAAGCAAAAATTGAAATCGCTTAATTCTTACAACTTTTCTACGAAAAAAAGTTATGGCACTTGATTGAACTTTCAACAACACATGAAAGTTCGTGCTACTCTGTTTTACTCACTGTTTGTTACAAGGGCGAAGACTCATGGTCGTTTCATTCAAGATTATAATACTGAATAAATTTAAGTAATAATTATTATCGGAACAACCATGTACATCGTTAAATAGCGAGGGGCTCAGCAGCTTCCATTTCCTGTGATGCCGACAAGCGGCAGTTGGAATTTAACTGCAATGCTCGTCGGTGGAAAAATTAAGACGAGCGCGTGCAATATCCGCTGGTGGAAGACCATCGCTTTAGCTTCATTGAAGGCCTAGCCTCGGTCGCTGTCGTGTTCCACTGCCGCTGCTCCTCCTGGCAATCCATACTCTCCAAGATAGATGCCACCCTCTGTTCTAGTTCCCGACAGCCAGTGAAGAGGCATCCAGTCCGTCAAGTGCCTTCGCTCTAGCGACCATTTTTGGGGGAAATTCTCTCAGAAATGGCTGAGTTGATTTTCGAGAGTCAAAGGACCCGGGGGAGTCCGCATTACCTGGTCATGATGTTAAATTATCACTGACCACTTCTACAGAAATACTGACTCAAGAACCACGTGCCTGCTTTATTCAGAAATTACCGACTGGCTTTCTCGGAGAGTTTTACCACGAAGGTAAAATCTCGAAGCCCGTAGGAGTGGCAAATGAAGTTCTTGGAACCAAATTTCATACAACCCTTCAAATACCAACAAGCAATTCTAATTCTACGTCTAATTCTATGAATGCGCTCGTTGTCTGCTAACGCATGTTAAGGAATTCTGAAAATTCTGATAGAACAACAGTTTGTTCCAAATTCACAACTTGATTCTCAATCAATTTCAATGTCGTTTATAATTCCACAACTTGATTCTCAATCAATTCCAGTGTTGTTTGCAATTCCACAACTTCATCAATGTTGGAGGAGTTGGCTTAGCGATTTAAGCATGATTCCATTCTTCAATTATGATCATTTCATGTTGTGTTACACTGTCCATATATTCCATCACTTAACTAATTTGATCCTATGCAATTATTTCATTAAGCCTTTCTGCTTGACCTTAATTTTATATATTGATTCTCTTCTTATAAGGGTTAACTTGAGACGCAAAACTCTGTCAATAGGGTTTTCTCGCGCGACGACTGTTAACAATTCTAGCAAGTTACTTCGAGGCCTCGAGACGCGGCACAAAGACTCGAGACACTTCGTAAATAGAGCTTGTATGATCTGAGCAAATCCGACTTGCCAGTAAAACTGTGCACACGACTCCTTCACGACGCTGCCTGGGCTGTCGTTGATTTCTGCTGCGTAATAACGATTTATTACAAAACAAGTTCACGGGTAAGATCGAATTACGTTTACGTTTAATCAGACTGGAAGTAATATTCACAATATTTATATTTCCAATTTGCACAAAAAAATTAAAAAATACTCCGATCTAAGTCTTTTCCTGATAAACGTGATTACCCGTAAAATTCAAAGTGGAAAAGCAATTCTGATATGCATGAGGAATGTAAGGAATTTCAAAGCATTTGTTAGCTATTAATAAGAAAAGATAAATCAACAGCTGCAGCAGTTGAGTAAAAAGGTAATCCATATTTTTATATATTTTGCCATATCATATTTTTTCATTATTACTCTCATTAAATAAAATTTAGGAATATCATTCAAACTTTTTTTTCTCTGGTTAACCAAAATGACGTCAGAGCATTCGTATCCGGTGTAAAAATTATATATAATTTTCCAGTTGAGTGCACAAACTTTAAATACGTGGCTTTTTGACACAATATTTTTTATAAGATCTGCTAGCGAAAAGCCGCGTGGCATGACATCAAGGACACACTTGCAATGCACAGTCGTTGCAGTCACTCTCTTTGCACATCTCCGATTTCTATTCAAATGCAAAGTCGGAGCTTCTTACGAACTATCAGAGAAGAACTTTGGATGTGCATCCTGTCT